AGTCTAATGCCCCAATCATTGAAAGGCGAACTAGTTAGGTGAAAGTTTGTGGAAGGTTGCAATCGGAACTTTTAACTGTCCAACCAACTCGATAAACCGGTTGATGCATGCATCATCGGAATGTATGACATCACTAAATTCTAGTACTTTATTGGAGGCGCAAACTCTGACAAAGCGTGTTTTCTCCCATAAAAAGGTGTGTCCTGTGTCAAGAAAATGCACTGGCAACTCTCTTCGCTGCCAATTGGCCCTAAAAAAGGTCGATAATTTCTTCAGGCCATACATCCTGATGATGCATGCATCAACCAGCGTATCGAGTTGGCTGCAGTGTACAAGCCTGTTAAACATAGGTGGAAGAGTCTGCAGCCGATAACTATGGACCGACATGAACCGCAATTAGCGCCCATATCGAATCACCCGGAATGACACCGGATCGACAAAAAGTACAGTTGTCAATTATTCACATTGCGAATGCATTTATTTCCATCACGGCGTGACGCAAATTTCTGCTACATATTAGTGCTGCAGTGGATAGTAGCTGATTGACTAAAGATGATAAAGATCAACCCCAGATAGCAAGAGTCGTGCTTATGGCACTGCTTGACTATTTGCGTGTTGCATATCGTCTGGACAACATTATGAATTTGCCTTCTTTGACAGATGGTTGATCTAACATGTCACTACATAATTAAATACACCTGATTGGCTCTTCCATTGTAGGAACGAGTTTTATTCTGATATCCTTAATAACTTAACGGAAAAATAACGTATTATCCGACAGTTTCGTTTTGTGTTGATTGGGTCATCTTGTATATCGACTATTGCTTTATCCTATTAAAATAAACAGGGATCCAGTCCGAAGGACTGGACCTGGAAAATTAAACATACAACATAATGCTACGGTTGTGGATCACTCTAAACACTGCAGTCACCATCTTGACTACAATGCTACTTCTTTCCTATGCATTTTTTATTCCTTGATAAGATCACCTTCAAAGCTTCATACATCAAACGTTGACCTCTTGAGACGACGACCGCTGGAATGGCAGACCTTTGTGGTTCACACTGGTCAGAATATAGAGCAGCGTCGAAGGCTTCCAAATTTGGAGAATCTTCCTTGGCCGGAACGGGAATATTTACCTTCTCCGTTGGGTGCTCCGGGTACACGCCCATTACCCCTGGGCGCACAATTCAGTCGACAACAAATGCGCACTGTTTGGAATCCGTTCAACACATTTGTAAATGTCATGGAGGACCTCGTTTTCAGTGACAAGTGGATGCTATACGGTGGTGCTCGGCTTGGATCTTTTCAGCACCATTATATTATTCGTCGACAAGGAGGTCAGACCGGCGTTGTGGAAGAAGATGCGCACCCTCCTGCCAGATAATGTCCTCCAGCAATGTGGTCGGAGGGACACACTTTCAGCAAAACTGATTGTGCCGAACAATTCTTCGCTGGATGTTTATGGAAGCCGTATCCTCAATCGCTGTGTGAACATGGCCCATTGTGAATATCGGCTACTACATCTCTAACGCCACCCACATACATGAAATTGCTAGGTCAAATAACCGATACTACGACTACCCAAAGTCTGATATTTTCCCACAGATATTCAGAACGTTTTACAAAATCTGGGCTCCAGCGCCAAGAAAAACTTTTGCTTTTACAATGCAAACGTACCTTGGGGATGGTAATTGTTCTTCTTTAACCTGGTCTTATGCCTTTGAGGTCGGTATTAAAGGTCAATCAGTACCGTGCGCCGATCTCTCTGTGAGCTACGCTTTTGTCGAACGCAGACCCCTTTACAGTCCTGTCAAGGAAGATGGTGATAGTTCGGATGAATTGGATTGGGTTCGCGAAAGACTGATTTGCGGTGGCAAGGTCCTTCACGATATCCATTTGTTGGCGCCTAGAACCGAAGCCTTTATATACACCTACGCTCTACGTGTGAACTCTAATCCTTGATTGCCAGCGCAACCGTATGGATCGTTTTACTTAACAGCAATATTTCCTTCAGTATTAGTGATGACAGCTTACGGGTGCATCGCTTAGAAGCACGATATTGAATGCGAACACAAGTCACGCATTACATGTTTTGCGGATGTATTTATTACTGACTGTTCCACCATGAAACAACTGCCAAGTTCATATTGATACGCACACTTTAAAACCAAACCTTCTTCGGGGCTACTGTGTTCCCTTTTTT